CAGCGAACTGCTGGACACGATTGAGGAGAACTTTTGGAGGGAAGCCCGAAACCAGAGACCGTTCTCCGTTCGAGTCAATCGGATTTTTGTTGGACCACCAGGGACTGGCAAGTCCACGGTGGCCAGGCTGTATGGGCAGGTGCTGGCAGATGTGGGTCTACTTAGCAGTGGAGAAGGTGAGTTGTCTATATTCGAAACTGAAAACGCAGCACTAACAACAGTAGTGGTTGAGATGCGTATCTCGCAGCGACCTGACGTCAAAGACCTCCTGAATTCCTCCATCGGCAAGGTGCTCTTGGTCGACGTGTCTGACCTTGAGTCGTCTCAGACTTGGCTGAAAACTCTGATCACTCAATTGTCGCTCACTCCTCGTCACGATCGCTGTGTGGTCCTGGTTGGAACCAACGGCAGCATTGAGCCTTTGATTCAGGAAAAGGATATATTGAAGCTTTTCAGAGAGCATCACATTGTTCATTTCCATTCTTTCACCAAGGCGCAGCTGCGGCAGATCCTCGAAATGAAGCTGCACGACGACGAAGTTCATGCTACTTCTGAGGCGCTGGATAACGCTGTTCAACTTCTCGAAGTTGCTCGCATGCGTAAAGACTTCAACAACGGAAGAGCAATTGCTCACCTGCTCGGTTCAGCTCACTCTGCCTACGAACGCAGTCGGTCCCAGGGTGACGTCACCCAGTCACAATTGGAACGGGTTCTTGTGCCTGCCAATTTCGAACGCGATCGTTTGTGTGGCAGCTCAAAGTTGGATTTCCGCGAGGAGTTGAAATACACCCTCGTCTCGGACGACCTCATTACTTTGCTTGAACGCTACCGGCACGACCTAAAGGCTGCGTGGTTGCTCAATGCTGACCCTACTCGGCGTGTTCCCCTTGCAATGGTCTTCAAAGGCGCCACCGGAATTGGCAGGAGAAGCGTCGCACGGCTGATCGGCCGCCTATACTATGACATGGGTGTGCTGGACTCTGGCAAATTTATGGAGAGCTCTGCGACCGATCTAGCCCTGAATGCCTGCAACTCATCGACTCAAACGCGCTCGCTGCTGGAACGTGCACGCGGGGTTGTTTTGTTCATCGAAGATGCTCACCGGCTTAGTGAGATCGAATCCGCTGCTCAGGCCATCAATGACCTGGTCTACCTCATGCCCAAGTACTCTCGCGACACTGTGGTGATTCTGGCAGGATCTGGCCCTGAAATGGACCTGTTGTTGTGCAACCAGCCCCGCCTTTCCAGCCTGTTCCAGGAAGAGGTTGTCTTCAAGAGTCCTACACCTCGTGAGTGTCTCCGTCTGCTTGACCAGCGCCTCCAACAAGAAAAGATCCCTGGCTCGCGGCCTTTCCTCACCGATACTCGGACGGAAACATACCGCGAGTTCACACGCGCCATGCAAACGCTCTCGTTGTTCCCTTGCTGGAGCAATGCCCGCGACATTGACGTCCTGGCCATGTGGATGGTGTCGTCTGTTTTGCGCGCAGTCCCGCTGGACGGTGACTCGCTATGTGCTCCTCAGTTGACGGAGGAGCAAGCCATGGCATGCGTGATCAAGATGTATAACCTCAAACGTGATCGCCTTCGTTACAACCAGGACCCTAAGGTGAAATCACTGCCACGCAACCTCTCGCAGCCGAGGTCCTCCCCTTCCATCAGGAGCAGCGTCAGGTTTCCCGTCTAGGGGTAACTGGGCTTGATCTCCCGGCCCATCTTAATCTCAACTTTCTTTAACGCGATATTGTTACGATGACTTAATGTGTTATGTGTCATGTACCCGACTGTCCTTCATTACTTTGCATATGGGGAACTCTGCTTTTCCATGCCATCATGTCTTTCTCCTCACTGCGGCCAACATTCGCTTTTGACGAGTATCACGATTCGCATATTTCCTGCTTTGCCATTATGTCGATTAATGATGTACTACGACCTGAATGATTGCATTTGATGATTTATAATGTGTATGAAATGTCATAGTCTAGAGACTGCTATTCCTTCATTTTCCTCCTCCATGTTCCAGTTTAGATCAACCTGCTGCAGTCAGTTCATGGTTTGGTGCTGATTCCACTACTTCCGCCTGACTTACATCTGCAATATGATCGTATCCCAGGAGCTTAGGCGCTAAACCTGGATCTCTCCACGCCAGCGCCTCACCCTCGGGAGTCGGAACCGTCTGCATCTTGCGATCTCTTTCCTCCTGTTCAGGACCGTCGTGTAGATGGTAGAGGTATTGTTGCACATTTCCACGGTCTACGACCATTTTCGTTCGTTGCTTACGACACCTTTCAAAAACTGACAGTGCACGGCGCTTGTTTTGCAGGTACTCGAGGGAGGTCTTGGTGACACTCGGGCTGTTCGGAAGTCGAGAGAGACATTCGCCGAGGACGGCTCCATCTTCAAAGGCCATACCTGCCCTGAGCATTCGTTAGATGGCCCTGACGTGTCAATAGATGATTGCATACCCTGAGGCGAGATATGGAAGTGTGGCATGGACCGAATCGCCTATCATGACCCACGACCCTGATGGATGCGTCCACTCGTGGTCGCCAAAACGTATGCATAGTCGCCATTTGTAGACGGATTGGCAAAGTTTGAGCAGCTTCTGGATGCTTTGACCATGAGTTGAAGGTCGTTACCAGGAGGAAAGAACGCTTACCGTGGATCCCACCCCTCGAATAAGGCGCACATCTCTTGCACGTTTCCTTCCACCGTCGATGCTAGCGAGTCTTCAGGGATATCGTCTGGCACCAGCAAGACCATGTTGAATTTTTCGCCGCCTCGCAGAACATAATTCACTGAACTGTGAGCGTAGTCCATACTCCATTATCGACCGACGGAAACTCACCCGCATGCGCATCCGGTCCAAGCCAGTAGTTAACCTGCGGATCTGTTACAAAGCCCGCCAATTCGGGATCCTCGAGCATCTCCTCTGTTGACAAAAGCAGCCGATACGCCAAATCGCCTGTCTTGATAGGCGGCTCGGGATGACCCAGCAACTTCTCGACCAAGGTCCCAAATACTCCGTCGGCCCCGATGACCAAACACCCAGTCCACACTCGCCCGTCGGCCGCGACTGCGGTGGCGGTCGCCTCGTCAACACTCACCCGGACATCGACAATCCGCGCACTGCAAGTGAACCGCGCTCCGAGCTCCAACGCACGATCCAGCAAGCATCGGTGCAGGTCCGCCCGGTGGAAATCCCGATACCAGGTACAGGGGTACTGCTTCTCCGACTCGTGAAAGTCCATCGAGGAAATGAGATTGCCCTTCCACCCGAGGAAATTGCACACACGGGGGCGGGTCATGTATGGAGCTAGCGCATCTTCCAGACCCCAGTGCTGCAGGACGCGGGAGCTGTTGGGGAGGATTTGGATGCCGGCGCCTACTTCGCCGACTTCATGGGCGGATTCGAGGACGTGCACGTCGTGGCCGGCTAGAAGGCAACTGATGGCTGCTCCGAGGCCGGCGAGTCCAGCGCCGACGATGATGATCTGGTGGATTGTTAGGGGTGAAGGAGGCCAGGTGTGGAGTGCAACGAGTAACGTAACGTACCTGCAGTCTACACGACTCTACGCGGGATTGCTTCTGCTTGATAGGGATAGGGGGTGCCATATTTAGTTGTATGATTTGAGTGTAGAATGTATAGACCTGAGTTCAGCGACTTTATTTCATCGTTACAGTGCATCATCTTGGTAGAGGAAGTATTATGTGGCTTGATATATTTGACCCCGCGGCAGCTCAATGATGGGTTTAGGGTGCGATATCCTTGCAGATGTGATGCATCTCTAGTCTTCTTGCCATCTCTCGAAAGAAGTCATCAGAAGGCCGACAAGCGTTGACCGAACATGAAGATCGATTTACACCATCTACGATCTACGCGAACATGTCTCGGGGCAGTCCATACCCCTCACGATCGGGCTGTCCGATCACTCACTGAGAAATTAGCTTTCTCCCCAAGAAGAGCTGCTCTGGTGAACGGGGAGGGGGTCGAGGATTGGCCGAAGCAAAGCTGACGTGGCGATCTTGATGTCACGGCGCCGGAAGTGGAATATCACAGCACCCAACAAGAGCACTGCGCTGGACTGCCTACTAAGCAAGGGGTTGGCTCTCTTTCAGAAGTAGAGCTCGTTTCTGGTTCATGATAGGGTCGATGTCTGCTTAGGATAATCTCTCTACGATGACTTCGAGAAATTCCGCCACGGCTTTGAAGTTGCTCTGGTGCGGGCATCAACCGCCGCCTCTATGTTCTCGAATTCACATACGAAAAACACGGAGTCTGCTGTAGGATAATGTACTGGGACGTGCTTTACGATGATCGCCGATGAGACACAGCATGGGGTATTGTGCTGGTGCCAGTATGGCCAGCCACGTGGCCGTTTGGACTCACTTATGCAGTGCATACAGTGGCTCCCAGCGTGTTCGACGAGCTATGTGTCCTGCAATGGCGAAGAACTGATGCGATATGTGAATATGATTTGAGGAGAGAGTAGAAGATGATGATTGCCGATGTAGTGAAAAAGATCTGAGAGAATATTCAATTCCGCAGGGGTATCTATGCAGAGATGACAGCATGTGTAACTCTGGATACTTAATGTTAAGGATATCATTCAGTTTCAATGATGATCATCCCCATTTACTGGAATGATGAAGAGGAAGCAATGAATTGTAGAGTGTGGAGCTGGAGATATTAGAGGGTGTGTGTGCTGTCTGCCCGATGATGAGCGCGTACAGACCGGTCAGGATGTTGTAGTCGACGGAGGGTGTACTACATATATCCTAAGAAAAATAGAACAATTGTCAAGAAGATTGATCATGATGGCATAAGCAAAGCGGGGGTTGGCGAGCACCCGATCAGCCCATCTGCAACTGCACGAGTCGACAAGTGCGATGCGGAGAGCAACTACCCAGGATCTAGCGATAGACTTCACCTACCTACATAATTAGACAACATACAAGCCCGATCGCAAAGCATCCGATTGTCTGATCGCGACAGCTTCATGGCGCACCCTTCCTCTCATGCCTCCACAACCCTAGTGGTCGTGGGCGCTGGTCCATCCGGACTGATGCTGGCGTGAGTCAAATGTCACATTATTGATCATATCTCACAGTGTGTAGATGCAATCTAGTCCGCTACGGAATTCCCGTCGTGATTCTCGATGACCGACCCGACAAGACATCGACTGGCAAGGCGGATGGCCTGCAGCCCAAGACCATCGAGACCTTCAAACAGCTCCGGCTAGCAGATTCCCTCCTTCGCAATGGTGTCCGTGTGTACGATATCTCGTTCTGGGTAGGTAGGATATGTCCTCGTATCAAGTTTACATGCTGACTGGGTAGGAATCCACCGAGAACACCCCGCTGCACCGAAAGGGTCGACAGGAACACTACCCCGACCATCTGGTAGGAGCGGCAGAGCAATATATTCTTCTGGCGCATCAAGGGATGATCGAAGAAGTGCTCATTGAGGATATTGAAGCACGCCGAGTGCGGGTTACTCGCAACAGCTGCTTTGTATCTTGTTCACGTCGGCCAGAACAGAAAGAGCTGACTGTCACTTACGAGGATCTATCTACAAAAACGAAAAGGACGATTCACGCGGAATACCTGGTCGGATGTGATGGTGCTCGTTCCAAAGTACGCGATTTCATTCCTGATGCGAAGCTTGAGGGAGAAATGACGAACGCTTCCTGGGGGTGTTGGATGGTTAGTATCCCCCCAATGGGGCTCCGGATGAGCACTGTCACTAACTATCCAGGGGTCATTGAAACCGACTTTCCGGACCTCTGGAGTAAAGTGGCTGTTCGATCGCATTCGGTAGGCTCTATTCTGTGGATTCCTCGGGAGCGCAATATGACAAGGTTATACGTCGAATTGAGCTCCACTGAAGGGGAGCGAGTGGACAAGGCCAAAGCAACGCCGGAGTATGTCATGACGCTGGCTAGGAGGGCCATGGCGCCGTTCAAGCTGGAGTGGAAGTCAGTCGGTACGTCTCTGGCGGATAGTGGTCGTGAACCAAGTTGACAAGATAGAATGGTTCGGGAACTACGTGGTCGGCCAACGAGTTGCCAGTCACTTTAACGACGACGAGATGCAAATCTTCATTGCTGGCGATGTATGTGTTGTATCATGTGCTTTGATCATGAAGGCGTAACTAATCTCACAAGGCTGGACATTGCCACTCTGCGCTGGCCGCGCAAGGAGCCAATACCAGTATGCACGACAGCTTCAATCTCGCTTGGAAGCTCAATCTGGTCTGTCGAGGACTGGCCAAGAGGTCCCTGCTCGCCACATATGAAGATGAGCGCCGTAAGATTGCTATGGATCTGATTCGCTTCGATGTAGAGCACTGCGACGCCTTTGAACAAGGCGAGGCCGCGCTGGCCAAGAATTTTGATGACAATATTCGCTTCATCTCGGGGGTCGGCGCAGAGTATTCTATGGGCCTGTTGACACAGATTCAATCTGACAAATTCACTGGGGGAGGGCTTCGCCCCGGAGCGCTGCTGGAACCGGCAAAAGTGACTCGATACATCGATGCGAATCCGGTCGATATCCAGCTGGACATTCCGATGCTCGGGCAATTCCGAATCTATCTATTGGTTCCAAATATACTATCCGTGAAGAGCTTCCTTGGTGCATTTTGTGCCAGATTGAAGAACCCCAAGTCGGTATTGGGTCGGGTATCCGCTCTCGCGCAGCAGTCGTACAACGAGAAACCGCGAGGGAAGGCAGCGTCTGACAATTACATTCAGCCACAGAGATATACAACTGTTTCCCACCTTTTCACACTGTCTCTTGTCACCAAGTCATTGAAATCTGATTTTGAGCTCAGCGATCTGCCGGATCTCCTGCAACAGAGCCGATGGACCTTGTACCTGGATGATGCGGATGAGAAGCAGTGTACGGACAAATGGGTGGGAAAGTTGGATAGTGATGAAGCTGCCATCATCAATGTCCGACCGGACGGATACGTGGGATCTCACAGTTTATGGAGGGAAACGGAAGGGGACAAAGCTGCCGACTGGGTAGAGGAGTATTATGGCTCATTCCTGATATAGAGCAGATATACGTAGACAATGTAGCTGTTATTCTCTCCGTGTATTATGCCACAGATACAAAGAAGGCAGTCTCGCCTTCTTTCGCCTTAATCGTTGCCTTCTTAACTAACGGATCTCCCACAGCCAGGCGCAATCGCTCTGCAGTAGCCGGACTGTCCAACACCAAAGGTTCTAGAACCTGGTGATCTTCCCGGGCACTTTTGAGTGCGTCCCGTAGAGCGAATAACACAGTGGATCCCAGAAACAGAGGCGGCTCACCACATCCCTTGCTGCTCTGAATGGACCGAAGATGCTGCCAGGAAACCCCCTGCAGGAAACTCACATTGAATTCCTGGGGAATGTCTCCAAAAGCCGGGATTTTGTAGTTACCAGGCCCGCGAGTGGCCAGCTGTCCATCCCGGCTCCATAAAGACTCTTCCATCGTGAAGAGACCTTGTCCCTGGACGAACGCCCCTTCGACCTGACCATAGTCAATAGCAGGGTTAATAGATCGTCCCACATCCATCTTGATGTCGGTCCGTAAGACAGTATGGTCGCCTGTCAGCAGATCCAGTTCGACTTCGGTGCATGCAACGCCCTACCGAATTAGCCATCGTCTCTCAAAAGTGCTCGTTCAACATACCTGCGTGAAGTAGTAGTACATCGGCTTCACCGTCTTCGGATCGTAGTTGCCCCACTGATACCCGATCTTGGGCATTTTCCAGAACCCGCTTGCTGTCAAGTTAACTCGATCCAAGTAGGCAGCATGCGCAATCGTAGACATGGGAGCGTCCGGGCCAAACTTCTCCCGATACGGCTTCAAGCGCTCGTTGAGCTGATCACAGGCGTCCTTGACCGCCATCCCATTGAGATCGCTGCCGGATGATGCGGCAGTTGGTGAAGGATTCGCTGTCTGATAAGATGAGGTATCTTGCGTGTAGATATTCTCAACAGGAACTCCCAGTTCTTCGGCGGCAACCTGCACCATCTTAGTGTAGAGACCTTGGCCCATCTCTGTGCCGCCATGATTGAGTAAGATCGATCCATCCGCGTAGATCCTGACCGACGCGGCGGCCTGGTTGAGGTGGACGGCCGTGGCAAATGACAGACCAAACTTGGTCGGGATGAGACAGATCCCTCGCTTCCGCCATCTATGCTGCGCGTTAAATCTGTCCACGGCCGCGCGTCGCTCGTCATAGCGGGCTTCTCGTCGCACCTGGTCCATGAGCAATGGCACATGCCAGTCTTCGTCGATCCGCTGCAGGAATGGCGTCAGCTGCCCTTGCTCATAGAAATTCAGCCGGCGCAGCTCATCGATCGGAATATTGAGACCCTCTGCCACCGCAGCCATGTAGCTCTCCGCTATGAACATGGCCTGGGGACCGCCGAACCCGCGGAAAGCAGTGTTACTGTGGGTATTGGTGCGGCAGACCCAGCCCCGGATATGCACATTGGGGATGTGGTAGCAATTGTCAAGATGCGTGCAGCAGCGGTCCATCACAGCACCACTCATATCTAAAGAGAAGCCCGCATTGTTGTAGCAATCTGCGTCCAGAGCAACTAGTCGGCCGTCGTTCAAGACGCCAACTTTCCAACGGCATTGCACCGGGTGCCGTTGGCCCGTAGTCATCATGTCCTCGTCCCGGTTGAGCATCGCCCGCATAGGTCGTCGTTCTTTCTTGGCTGCGATGGCCAGTAGACAGGCTAACTGCACGCTGCGGGATTCTTTGCCGCCAAAAGCCCCTCCCATCCGCTTGACCCGGGCGTTGATGCGATGACTCGGCACTCCGGTGACCAGACTGACGAATTCCTGCGTCTCCATTGTATTCTGCGTCGAGGACCAGACTTCTATCGTCCCGTCCTCCGAGTGAGGGATCACCAATGCTGCATTGGTCTCTAGATAGAAGTGCTCCTGGCCGCCTACACGCGTTGTTCCGGTGAAGACCCGGTCACACTGAGCAAACACCTCCGGCATTGCCTCCGGAGGTGCGCCCTTCCTCAGCTCCTTGCCATGGGGGAAGAAGCTTTGAGCAGCAATCGCTTCGTCAATGGTTAGAATCGCTGGAAGATCCTCGTATATCACGCGAACCGATTTCGCGGCCGCTTGTGCCTGCAGAGCAGTCTCCGCATACACCAGGCCGATCGGCTGCCCATGAGCTACCACCTCATCGACGGCGAAGAACGGCTCGTCACGCTTGACAGAACCCCAGGCATTCGCCTCCGGAGAAATGCTGTGGTGATCGATGTACCCTACCGCCATACCGGGCTGCAGCGCTGGCGTCCAATCCACCGAGATGATTTTGGCATGAGCACGTTGGGATAGCACCATTGCGCCAAATAGCTCGCGGTGCTGCGGCGGCATGTCGTCCACATACTCGGCTTCTCCGGTTGCGTGTTTCAGTCCGGATAGGTGAGGGATCTGTTTGCCGACAACCCTTTGCTCATGGGGATTTCTGTTGTCGCGTGTGCTGTGGGAGATTTTCCGGTAAATTTCTCCAGTAAGATCTGAGTCGACCTTGCTGCCGATCTGTAGGTCGGCAAGGACCTCGTTCCAGAATCGGACGAAGAGAGACAGGGCCAGAGTGCGTCGATACGTAGCCATGCCGCCGGGAACACTGTACGGGAGGTTGAAATCAACGAGAAGAGCATCCAATGCTTCCTCCAGGACCTTTGTATCTCCCCAAGGCTTACCGATGAGAGACTTGCCAGCACTTGCTGCGAGAACGGTAGTAGGGGCCACGCCACCATATGCTAGGGCAACATCTTGAACTACCGCATGATCATCTAGCCTCACGCGGAAACCGGCGGTCACGATAGCGATATCATCATCCTTGCGTTTGGCCTGTTTGTAGGACTTGGTGACCTCGCGTACTTCAGGCGATGGGATCGGAATGCGAATCTGGGCGATGATCGCTCCCTCTGATAGTGCAGTCTTGCGATATCCAAGAAATATTGAGTCCATAGACTGGGAATGCTCGCCCTGCGCTGTGCGGGAGACGACGGTTGCATTGACTGCCAGAAGCAACGGATTCATGTCCGAGATAGGCGAAGCAGTGGCAATATTTCCAGCAAGAGAGGCCGCGTTACGGATCTGCCGACCGGCAAAATATCGCATAGCCTTGGCTATGGCCTGAATAACTGACGCCCGAGGCTGCAGCAGGGGAATGAGACGATGACATTCGGCTTCAATGTCGCTCAATGAGGCTGTGCCGCCAATGACCAGCTCAGATATGTGTCCAGCCGTGGAGACGGTGCTGATATTGGCCAGCTCCTTAATATCTCCGATGAATATCGACACTGGATGGTGCGCGTTCTTAAGGCGAATATCCACTTGCACCTCACTGGCACCGTTGACCAGAGTGGCTGATGGACATGCCGTCTTGATCTGGATCAGCTGCTCAAGGGTGGTAGGACGTATCCATATCCTTTGTTCGTTGCCATGGCACAAAGGAAGATCAAGGTGCCTGGACAGACCAGGAGGGTAGATGAGCTCTGTTGTCGGTGTGTATGGGACGAATTCGAATTGGGGTGCCGATGGTCCTGCCTGCGATGAGACGCTGGTCCGCGAACTTTGACCACAAATACTTGGACTGGATGAAGATGATGTCTCAGGGGTATCACGACAGCAGCCCCCAGGGCGGCCGCAAGACTTTCGACTGCTCTGCTCGTTCTCGTCAGGGGAGATAGTCAGGTTGCCAGATGCGGTGGGACTGCGTCTTTCGGACGGGCGCAACGGCAGCTGCAGATCTTGTTGGATGAATGTCCTGGCTGCTTCTAGAATGGGCTTGTATCCAGTACATCGGCAGAGATTCCCGTCCAGATGGCCCTTCATCTCTATGTCATCCTCGCTCAGGGTGAACTCAAGAGTATCAGGATCGAGAGCGTTACGAATGAGGGCATACAGCGACATGACGATGCCGGGCGTACAGAATCCACATCTACGCTATCAGCGTCTGTCCTCTAGCTCTCCTTTGTGCATGAAGACATACTGCGAACCATGTAACTTGCCCAACCGTTCTTGTAGAGGATGGGGATGGTCTACATTACCCAGTCCTTCCACCGTAATGACATGTTTGCCAGCCACTGCCAAGTCAGCCCTGAAATTCGCCGAGACAGAGAGTTATGCTTACCGCCAATCAATGGATACAAACATGCATTTACAGCTAAATGCCGAATTCGCCGTGGATTTCGATTTTCGCGTGTTTGCAAGACAACGGTACAGGCACCACATCCACCCTCACCGCACCCCAGTTTCGTACCTTTCAAGCCATGCTGCGATCGGATGAAGTCCAGTAATGTCCAGTGCGGGTTAGGATTCTGCAGGTCGATCCTTGTCCCGTTGAGATAGAAGGAAAGTGTGGAGGAGTAGGAGCGGAGCAGTTCTTGTAGAGCGGGATCCGGGTAGTTGACTTGGGTCATCATTCTTCCAGTGGATAAACATCAGTCCATTCCTGAATAATTCACAGCAGGAGATACGCAATTTATCTGGTCGTCAAGTTACACAGCATGATACGGAAGTGCCAGCGCATGCATACGTAAGAGAAGGGAGCTGATACTGTTGGTGAGATTGATATGGCTTGTATCATCTGGCGTTACTGCATATTCGCCACAATTACCCCTCCTCCGGTTCGGAAAGCAGACAGTACAATCAAGTAATTACCATATCTCTAAATCAAATGGCAAGCTGTATTTTTGATCATCAACAGCAGGGGCGCGGCATGGATGGGGTTACATTGCTAATGCATGATGGATAGTATGTATGAGATGTCCATATGAATACCACTGGATGCCCTCGATGCAATCGTATTACCATCAAACGAGATTCTCACACGATCGGTATTCTCCGACGGCAAGATGGGCTCTCTATCAACAATCGATATCTTATTCAAGCCGCTTCAACAGAGGACGTTTCCCTGCACTCGGCTGCGATCTCCTGTCGAATTCTGAAAGGTGTTTATATCCCCCAATGACATGGATGTGGAATTTTACGCCCAGCGCGCGTTTCTGGGAGGATCGATGCTCACCGAAGCCACTCCCATCAGTGGCTATATGAGTATAAATTGTAAATGCAGTGAATGCGGACTGGGTCGCTGGTATAGGCAGGAGAGACCCTGGAGTCCCTGGATTTTCCTCTCCCTATCAGATGGAAAAAAGTGGCCAATGCAGTACATGGCAAGGGGCGTTAACATTTTGCCAGCTCTGGCTTAGCGAACGAGGAAGCGTTCCCCTGCTCCATCGATTCCCCGTCGACCTTTCCTCGAGCGTACTCGAATCAGTGAGAACGCCCTGGGTGGAATCAAATACTACGGCGGCGGCAAATAGAGCCATCGAAGCCGTATTTGATGGGGCTGAGATCAATGGTATCTCTCTGCCCAGAGCGTGCATCGGTCTGAGTCCCAGCCGAGCCTTCAGGGAAAATGATATATCCTCGACCAGTTCTTCCTTGACGATGTCAACAACCGGACAGACCAGTACGGTGGCTCCATTGCTAACCGCTGGCGCTTTGTCCTCGCAGTCATTAAAGCGACGACCGAGGGGTTCGGGGTTGACTGGGTCGACATTCGTCTCTCACCACACGCCTACTTGCAGGACACACACGACTCTGACGCCGCTGTCCACTGGGTATAGCTCTGTGAGCACATTGCCGCCTTCCGAAAAGAAGCACGTCCAACCTCCTTGCGCATGGTTGGACCCGGCGATTGTGGATTACCCACGATAATCGGATAAACGAGGACCACGCCTTACCAAAGTGGGATCATTTAACCATTATTCCGTAGTACTTAAACCAGCAGCCTCATTGCATCATGCACGGCAGCGCACCGTGCGATTCCGAGCTGTTGTGCCATCTCCACCAGCAACCATTCGTCTCGTATTCCCCTTGATAACAGCCAGACCGGATGTGTCTAGAGATGCAGCCGTAGCTACAATAAGCGACTTCAAGTCTGTCTTGACTGGCTCAGTTCCACCACCATGCTGTCGGCCATGAAAAGCTCAGCTTGTCAGTGTGGCTGGATACAGGCACCGGGATGATTGAAATGCATAGACGTCGCTATGTGAGTTGTGCATTCTTTCCCATTCAGCCACCCCGTCTAGAACGCAGGTAATGAAACGAAGCGGATGTGGGAGACACTCGTTCCATTGTATATCGGCCGAGTTACCTGATGGACAGATATTCTCGCGGCTCATAGACGCTTGTAGCCAGCTGGCCCTGCAGGTTGCCTGCCAATGACATCCAATACTTTGACTTAAAGTTAGTCGTCCTTCTCCTCGCATGATATCACCAACATCACCAACAAGGCCGTGTGTGGGGATAGATCACGGTAGAATGCTATCTCCGCTCTGAAGCCAGATGTACGATATTCTGCCTTTTTGTGTGCTGAGATGTAACCTACCTGATAAGGCAAGAGAGCTTGCTAAACCCATCAGGCCAATGACAGCTCCGAGCTTAAAGCAACCCCATTCTACGTGGTGGAGAGCGGTAGGCAAAAGTGGGATAAGGTTGACATGGTGGGATATATCCCGTGGCCAACGATTCTAAAATGCGCAGATGGATTGGTCCACAGCTCATTACCCCGCATTTTTTGACATTTAGCTGGAGAAAGTAAGCGGGGAAACGCTGGAAAGTCCGGGGTAAGTGGTCATCGAAGATACCTCGGAATAATGGATGTGGCTAGGTTGGGCCGCTTGGTCTTTGAGCTTCTTTGCCTTGGCAGTTCCACAGGGACCATTTGCTTCAAATGTACTGAGAGCAGAGGGTTTATTGGTTGCAGTCACGGACTGTAGGAGTCTGTATACCGATTAGGAAGGAGAATGAATGGCATTACCATGATGCGTCTAGATTGTCCCCATGGAGTGACGAGAGGATTTAAATGCGCCTTCATCCCTGTCCGTCATTCTCCGTGCTGAGTGTGCGCTCACCGGACCTGGCTTGAAGTAATCATTGACTGCTCAATCTATCAAAATGAGGAACCACATGGCCGCAGGGTGGTTCTACTCCCCAAGTCAGATAGGCCGGTATATCGTCACTCGATTCACCAGTCTCAAGCCTCCCAGGGTAGGTAGCTTCTTCTCCCTATATCCGGTTTGGTATTAGCTGAAAGTATCCCAAGAACAAAATCCGCAATCCTGTTGCCGTTCTGCAAGAACTGACCACCCACCAATGGCTCATGTTCCTTGTTGGCTTTTTAGGATGGACGTGGGATTCATTTGACTTCTTCACCGTGTCCATGACAGTGACTGAGATTGCAAAAGACTTTGATACCTCTGTCACCAGTGTTACCTGGGTAAGCTAGTCCCTTTTTCATCCACCCTTACAGCAGGGCACTGACATTTGCTTCGGCTGCTAGGGCATCACCGTTACTCTCATGCTTCGATCAGTCGGCGCCTTGATCTCCGGTTTCTTTTCGGACAGATACGGAAGAAAATGGCCTTTCATAATCACACTGTCAACTTTTATAGTCCTTGAACTTGCGTCTGGATTCTGTCAGACTTTACCACAGTTTCTCGGTGTCCGCGCTTTGTATGGAATAGCAATGGGAGGTATGATGGCCCTGAAGGAGCATATCACTTGCCGTCTTGCTGACAACTCCATGTAGGTCTGTTTGGCCCCGCCGCGGCCACCGCTCTCGAGGATCTTCCCTACGATGCTCGAGGCGTACTATCCGGCTGCTTCGAGATGGGATACGCCATCGGATACCTGCTAGCAGCTGCATTCTACAGGGCCCTGGTTCCCACCACTACCCACGGCTGGCGCAGTCTGTTCTGGTTCGGCGCTGCTCCTCCAGTCCTCATCATCCTCTTTCGCTGGATGCTCCCCGAAACCAATCACTTCCAGGTCATGGCTGCCGAGCGCGAGGAGCGCATCCGGCAGGCTCACGCAGGGGACGACCATGTCCGCGCTATGGGCCTTCGGTCGTTCCTGAAAGACGCCGGCACCGCATTGAAAGAGAACTGGGTGCTGTTCATCTATCTCGTCGTCTTGATGACGGGATTCAACTCCTGCTCTCATGGAAGTCAGGACTTTTATCCTACCTTCCTGAAAGACCAGGTCGGTCTCAAACCGACTCAAGTCACGGTCATCACGGTCGTGGGGCAGGCCGGGGCCTTCGTCGGCGCCAACTTCTTCGGCTACATCAGTACCTTCTTTGGCCGACGCTTAACCATGATGGTGACCTGTGTTATTGGCGGTGCTTTGGTTCCTGTGTACGTTCTGCCACGCGACATGAGCTTGATCGCCACGGTCTTCTGGCAGCAGTTCTGCGTCGGTGGTGTGTGGGGCCTATCCCGATTCATCTGATGGAAGTGAATCCCCCTGCGCTTCGCTCACTTCTCGTCGGACTGACGTATCAAATGGGAAATCTTGCCTCGTCTGCGTCTGCTACGATCCAGTCGACGATCGGGTCACGGTATCCTTTGCCCCCTACTGAAGCTAATAAGAAGCGATTCGATTACGGCAAGGTTATGGGGATTTTCCTGGGTGCCGTCTGGGCGTATATGCTGTTCTTCCTCTTCTGGGGGCCTGAGATGTCCGCGGAAGAAAGAGAAGAGGAAGCGGAGGCGGCCAAGTACCTGGAAAAACTCCGTTTTGAGGGGGTCAGTCTGGCTGAGATTGGAGTTATGCAGGCGAGGAAGGTCAAGGGAGCTGAAATGCCTCTTCGGGATAACGATGAAGAGAAAGGTAACGAGGCCGTTACCGAGCACATCGAGTGAGTGATACAGATTATGGGGCATGGTACTTAGTATTTGTCTCTGTTGTCATGAGTTTCATGGAAAAAGGGAGGTGAACAAAGATCAGAGTCTGCATCAGGTATCGAACTAAATACAAGCAGATACCCATATGTCACATCGAATAATCCATAAACTCATTTCGTAGATCATAAATACAAGGTATCACAAGCGGCAGCACACCTCATTGCACTGGCGAGAGCAACCACTGCTTAGTCTCTGGATCCAAGCATTGTTGCTCAGCCTCCCTCCATTCCTTGATGACCATATCGGCCTTGGCCTGCGACCGTGGTGTGATACGAGCAGGAAACTCCTCGGGCATACAGACAAACCCTTGAGTCAAACGATCTGCATCAGGCAGGATTGGCTGCCCCTTTTCATCCAATGCTGCCTCCACGTTGAAAGCCCACATCATGCGTGAGATGCCCAAGAACAGGCTGCGCTCGGCAATGTGGATTCCAGGGCAGATTCGGCGACCGGCACCAAACGTGAACTGATCTCGCTTGGTGGCATCAGGGTTGGCGGCTGCTTCAGCCAAGGTTTGGCGATCATCCTTGTACCGGTCGGGTTGAACACCCGCGGGTTGGGTTGACGCTTCTCGTCCATGTTGATGGCCCACACGTTGTTTACGACACCAGCCCCCTTTGGGATAAGATAGCCCATATACTCATCATCTTGTGTGACGGCGTGCGGTACCGCGCCAAGAATGGTCGTCGGCATCCAGCGCAGGGTCTCTTTCATGCAAGCGCGCACATACTGCAGGTCCTGCTCATCATCCATCGTTGGCATGCGGGATCCCACGACACGGTCAATCTCCTCTTGAAGCTTGCGTTGCACCTCAGGGAAGAGTAACATCGCCTGGACGAACGCATACAGTGTGCTGGATGTGGTGTCGGAACCGGCCTCCAACAATGTCCCGGAGATGTACGCAGCCTGCTCGTCATTGAATCCATCCGACTTTTGGGCCTCGGCGAGACCGACACAAAAGCAGGGCTTAATCTTTCCGTCACGGATATCCTGCTTTGCTCGCAGATAGTGGCCCACGTACAGAGCCTTTTCCCGCTCGTGGAGTTCCTTGGCTCTCTTCTGCGTCGGGAGCAGGAACTCCGGCAGCCGTCTCAACCACGGGAAGAAATCAATGAGGGCAGCTGTTCCCGTCTGGTTTATCTCGGCGAACTCAGCGAAGCCGTCAAAAAGTTGTTTCATTTTCTCGTCCTCGTAGGTCGGCGTGCGCCACCCAAAGACCATAGTGGTGGTCAGAGCATTGGAGTAGCGACGAATGCTGTACAGGAAGCGTTCCGGCTGAGTGAGAAACTCGTACATCATCTGTTTGTTCTCGAGCATTTGATAGGGAACATAGGACTTGGCAGCGGTCACATTGAGGAGGCCATGGACCATTTTTCGAAACTGTAAGTTGTCAGCTCATTACTCGAATTGGTGGTCAAGGGCACATACTCTTCGCCAGATTGGGGTGTATCCCTGCTTGAGTCAGCACTACAAGTACACCTAGCTGTTCGGACATTGAAGGCCTACCATCATAAGCATTCGAAGCCCTCCGCTGCATAGCGTTTGGCCGATGTACATCTCCTGTCTGTGAGAGTACATCGCACTTCGCTTATCCAACAGGTCTTTGACAGCCTGATCACTTGACAGTACGACCATGGTTTTGGTCCCTAGAATCAGACTGTAGACGGGCCCGTATTCTTGTGCCCACTTTTGGAACTGCAGATGGGCATCGCGAGTGGGCATCTGCTGGCTTGTGAGTTCGGCATTCGAAGACTATGAACAGGGTGTGATCTCACCTGATGAATATTACCAATGATAGGTAAGGTAGGAGGTCCAGGAGGGTAGTTCTTGGGCCGTTGACCTATGGATAGCAGACGAAACAGCAGAAAGACAAGGGTTCCGACAGCCCCAAGGAGCGCTAAAGGCAGCATGGTATCCGATATACGTCTGGAATATAAACTTGGCTAAATCAAGCAATGCTCGTGAGTAGCCCCGCAGTGAGCACAATCCATAGTTGTAATTTATATGTAAAGTCCGGGGTTGTTTGTCGGCTGTTGAGTGGGATAACCCCAGATCGGAGGAGGAGGTGGGGGATCGGATGGGGGTGGGATGACGATGAGGACATCCCACTCGTGGGTTCGGAATCCGCCATTGGCCGCAATATGGTCGCATATTTCAGCAACTATGTTCGAACGGCAGATCATAGTTCATCAATCTAATAGAAAGTGGTTGAGTCGGTCACTCCACAGCGGTGGGCATGTCGCTGAGGTGCACTCTTTGGAACTCCGAAATGAGTTCATTGACTTGGCGCATACTGGTTTGGTCATATTGCGACAAAATCGGGTCACTCTGTTCGCTGTCACCGAGCACAAGTTCTCCCCTGATTGCCTTGTGTTGCTCTGCTTCCGCTCCAGACAGTCGGTCGACTTTGACACTTGCAAGAAGCCAGAAATCGCCCGCGTGGCGACAGAATCCCACTCTCTGCCACATGTTGTCTGCATTCAAATTGCTTTCGTCCACCGTCGTATGCGGCAACTGTCCAATTGTTGTGGTTTCATGGAGATGCCAAATCTGCTTGAAGTTTCGCAGCGCGGTGTGGGTCCGTAAGAGTAGATGCCCTGCGCTGAAGAAACTCTGGTATTGGAAGACCAACGAGTGGATACCTGGGATTGTCAGTATTTTGGGAGACGAAAGTCCGTTGTGGAAAGGTTACAGCACAGACCAGAGATGATCGTGAAGAGATTCAAGGGACCCAGGGCTGCCACGGCTTGTTGCATCTTCACTGTCAGGTCGTCTATGCACAGGGTCTCGAACAGTGCACGGAAGGAAAACTTCCAACAGATGCTCGCAGAAGGCATCCAACTCTGAATCGCATCGTAACACTGATCGGCCGTAGGTGCTTGGAAACAAGACTCGGGCGCTGCCCCTTGCATTTTCATTTCCTTAACGACCATCCGTGGCGGCAAATTGTTGAAGGTGACAAATGCCGTATCCAACAGAAAGACCCAGATAAAAGTCCTAGCGGGAGGGTTAACTTGCAATCTCCGTACGGTCCTCTTCAGTTGGCAATACCTGATCAACTCTTCCCGGGCGACAAATTCGTTCCAGTCAAACTCATCCCTGTGCTTCGCGTTGTAGTCGACATGTCGCGCTGTCGTGATATCAAGATCACGAACGGTCTGTATTGATCAGTAAATCATTCGTAATTCCGGTCTGGCGGGCCTACCGAAACGACAGTGCTGAAGCGATGACGACGGATGCGCTTCTTGCTGGCATCACTGCCTTCCCAATTTTGGTACAAGCAGACCATGTAAGCGGCCTGCAGAGCTTGCATCTTTTGTATGTCACGAACAGGGTGAAACGGTGAGACTGGGTCCCGGTTAAAGTCCTCATCGGCGAACACGGCCTCTTCTACACAGTTGAACCACATCCGAGCATTATCGTTATCTTCGAGGTTTGGCGAAACACAGGCACCTATTTTCCACTCAGCACCGGTCATGGTCAGATGTGGGAGATCCTGCCTTACCAATGATGGCCATAGACGCCAGGAGGACTGGCTTGGAGCTCGCCGGGTGGAAACTTGGCCGATGGAGAAAGTTCACGTTTGGAGACCAGATCGACCAGTAGAGTTCAATATACTTCCGGAGACTTGTAGGAGAGAAGAACTGCAGACATCGTTGCTCGATGTCCTGAGACCATGAGATGGTCACACAGCTGTTGCGCGGCTTGAGCATGACGACCTCCTTTATTAGAAGAAGAATCTGATGTGTCTGTAAGGCCAGCGGGTCATTGAGCCATTGCGACGAGACCGCGTACGAGTTGTTGCTATCTAGATTGCTGAATTGGTCCACGTTAGTGGCCCAAAAAGTGTCTATGAGCCGTTCTTTCTCCTCGATGCTATATAGAACCCCCGATCTTTGCTCCAATGTTCCGCATTCAAAGGACGAGACGAAGCCAGTGCAACTGGTGAAAGCGTCGAGGAAATGGAAGAAGTAGTTGCGGTCAGCGCTCGCCAGAGAGAGATCCTCCGAAGCTAAGTTAAACAAATCTTGCCATGACTGGTCGGAGTATTGGAGAAGATCGAGGTCTGCACAGGCGAAAGCGTCAAATCCAGCGCTGTCCAGCCGCTCGTCGGCTCCAGTGCGGGGCGTCCACAGAACACTTGCCGCTGTCACATTGCTACTATCGGCACCTAGTGAAACCGTAGTAGAAGCTATCTCCTCGACCGCCTGGGTATCATTCTTCAGTGTGGAATATGCGCACTCCACTTCCCTCTTGGAACAATTCTGGCACGGTCGGGCGCTATTGCAAGCTTTTTTCTGACGTGCACAGCGATCACAAGCGCGCTTACGAGTCGCTCCCTGATAAGCGCTAAAAATAATGCGGTCGCATGTTCGGAGGTGCCGTCGCAGGACGTCGGCTCGCTGGAACGTACTGGGACAGGCCGGACATCGATGCGGCCGGTCAGCGGAGTGGGAATTGCGATGGCGCTGGAGATGCTCCCGGCGCTTGTAGGATTTGAAGCAGACGGAACACTGATGAGGACTGGTAGCTAGGCTGACATAAGTCGGTGAGTTCTTCATACTGAGTTCACGGGTTTCATTTTCTTTTGAGATCTGATGCGATGCAGAAAGAGGTCGCGGCAGATGAACGAACTGCAGATCCGAGGCATCTGGGGATCCGGGAAGCTTTGCGGGGAAGCTGGCCGATTATGTAACATAAGCATAAGATGAGGCATAAAGCGTATTTGACCAATAATAGGAAACGCGCAACACTTGTGCACCTGAACCGATAATACACATGTCGTTGCATACTCTGGCGTTGGAACTTGTCCTGTATGTCTTCATTTTCCGTGAGAAGAGGTTTTTATATCTGCTAGCTCTATTATGAATGTGAACGCTTCCGTTGATGCGAGGCATTTAACTTGCAAGCTCGTTGGTAGCGCATCGATTGTAGCGTGGTTGAAGTATATATTCATTTGTGGATTGTAGATAGGGAATACCCACGGGGAAGCAGGTATGTCTGGTGATGAAATCTCTCTAATTACTTAGCATTCTACATCCAATCTGTGACAGGGCGATGCGTTCATCCTTCTCTGCCAAGGTCCAACCCCTTTCGATAATCTTTTGTCTGTGAAGACCGCGGACTCGGAATGTGGCCTTGACTGCAGCCGGCGATGAGTCCTCATTCAGTGGCTGCTTGTCTGCAGATGTGATATTGAACCCCCAAAGTAAACGCGAAATGACAATGAACAAGCTTGACCGAGCCAGGCGATGACCTGGACATGCTCTCCGGCCAAATCCAAAAGCCGACACAGGAAGATCTGGGTTCTCTACATACCGTTCCGGGTGAAAGCTGGAAGGATCATTGAAGACTTCATCGTCCATGTTCATGCCGAATTGGTTTGCAATGACTGTTGCGCCTCGGGGAATGAAATACCCCATGTACTCGTCGTCTTGTATCGCCGCATGTGGCACAGCAATAGGGGATATGGGCCGCCATCGCAGAAGCTCGGAAATGATCGCATTGATATACGGCAGCCTTTCCATGTCGTCGAATGACGGGAGTCGATCTGCCCTACCACCGAATCCAGCTCCTGCTGTCCCTTGCTTACCACGTCGGGATACAAGATGCTCACCATGACAAATAGGTCCAGCACCATTTTGGTCGTATGAATGCCTGCCACATATAGTTCCCCAAGCGAGTAACATACATTGTCCCAAGGGAGCTGCATGACGTCCGGTTTCTGTGTGACTTCTTTGCTCCAGTTCCAGCACTCTGCTGCCAGAGCCTCCTCGCAGCATTCTCGATACACAATCATGGTCTTGTCATGGAGTCGAGCGGCTTCTGTCCTCCATTTCCAGAAGATCCGGGGTAGACGGTCGAGAATGGGAAACAAGTCCATCAACATAGTCCAGAAAGACGCCCCTTGCAACACAAAACCGGCCATTTCGTTGATTTGCTCCAATCGTCTGTGATCATTGTCGTCCTTGCCTCTTCCTTTGCCGTACACTAGCGTGAACATCACATTCGACGTGTATTGATGAAAACAGTGGGAGAAATCATTGGTCACGAGAAACTCGTGCAGGAGATGCTTGCTTTGGATATCTTGCAAATGACGATATGCAATTGTGTGATGAGCACTCAGCAGGGAGCCATGCAGACGTCGGTTCAACCTCCATTCAGGGCCATACGGCATGAATGCTGCCGCGAGTCCCTTGTTGAGGTACTTGTCCATCCATACCGAAGGGGGTCGAGAGCTATAGATGCTGCCTCGCTTCTCTAGCAGATCCTGTGCGGCTTGGCGAGTTCCGAGGACGACAAACGTACGGCTTCCAATCTTGAAGCTAACTACGGGGCCGTATCGTTTATTCCATTTTTGAAATGTGGTCGCGATATCTTTCTCGGGATATGGTCCGGAGAGAAGGGTGGGCCCCGGAGGCAAAGGTGGATGCGATGTTCGAGAGCGTAGAAGATGAAACCAGCACCACCCTAGAAGAATAACGACCAATAAAGTGGGGGCCAATTCCATTCTTGAGAGCTTGGACGATCCTTGGGAGGACTCTCCTGGGTTTTGGTCCCCGTATTAAATGCAATTTGGGGGAACGATATGCATCAGCGGATACAACATCCATCATCCGTTCCTATTGATCCAAACCAGACAAGATACGTAAGACTGCATGAAGCCACTATGCAGGTGGACCAGCCTTGGATCGAGACGGACAACTGCTGTGTCCCAAGTGCCAAACAAATCAGCCTGGTGGAGTGTCCCGGCGCGGCAAGTCGATGCATCCCTGCCTTAACCCACAAAAGGCCAATCACGGATAAGTCTGGACAAGGAATGGAAGACTATTCTGCAGAAGGATGGTCGCTTTCCCATCAGGGCTCAGTCACCGCTAGTTCGAGTTTAGTTGGGCAATATTTGATCTTGCCTCTAACATGTCTGAGCTTCGTTTGACGTTATCGCCGGCGCATAAAATAGCATAGCCAGTGCGCTAGGTCGACGGCTACGCAGCATAAACCGACAGCATTTCCTCCGCTATCCGCGTAAGGAAACTCAGGCCGATATAGATATAGCTTGGAGGATGTCTGTTGTTTCGTCCCTGCTCTACATGCAGGGATTTGGATCCCACTGCCAAGCTGGCAATCGGTACAGTCCGCCCGAAGACGGCGTCAATGTGGGGCATGAGAGGATTCCATACGCCTCCGTTGAGGAGTCCTTCTCGACACCAGGCCGAAAGGCGGGGCCCATTTGGCTTCGGCAGTGCTCAAAATTCCTTCAGTGCACTGATGGATCCGGCCATCTGCGGTACAGTGACAGTGAGGAAGTCGTTCTCGTACGGACGGGCCCAGGAGCTGTAAGAGAGTACAGAGGGTTGATGTTTCCCATGAGACGTTCTTGAAGAAATGATATTGAATTGCACAAAGGGTATATTCGGACTTGTCTTCACTATTGTAGCTAAAGATGATCTCTTTGAGTTACTCAACTTTGTGGTATTGAGGATCCACCCGGCCACTGACCCGGATGCCGACAACATAGGTTCGCAAACGGCAACAAGTAGTGAGCGTCAGGAAGTATCTCGCCATGACAGGCACGTATTGCACCAGGAAATACCACAGATATTACAGCATCTCCTCCTCGGCTACAACCACCTTGACTTTCATCCCCCAGCCGTCTCTCCCCCGATCCAATTCTTCCTCTTGCCTACCTTGTGGATTTTGCGAACATCCCGCTCCAGTTCGGACTTCAACTGCGTGGGGTCATACGCCACCTTTTGCACAAAGACTTTCAGCTCAATGCCTGTCTTATTTCCATGTTTGCCCAGATTGCTGGCCCATCGTGCCTCGGTTGCGATTCGCGGTCGGGCCGGGTCTATCATTCCAATGGGATAGAGTCGGGCGATCACCAGTCCCAGCTTCCCCAAGTATCGGATCCACCAGACCTCCTCGGGTGTCAGCAGCTCCCGCAACCGAAACTTGAAATCTTTCTCCCGCGGGGGCAGTTCCCCTCCATATCGCTCCTGCAGCATCAACGCCAGGCGTGCGCGGTCGGCGTGAGGGATGCCGTGAGTGGACGCGAGCAGACCGGCGCTGGTGCTGTACAGCGCAGCAGTCGAGGACAACTCCTTGGACATGGCGGCGTGCACAAATAGCGAATTGGCAAAGGCCTGGATTAGGGTCCCGCGGATTGATGGGGGAAAGGTTCTCTCTTCGGTGCGTGCGGGGATGGCGCCAAACATGAGGAAGGCGATCACCTGCGCGGAGGGCCGGGCAAAGGCGGTGGTCGCTACCTCTAGCGGATCCTGCTGTCGAACAAAGGGAGGAATGTCGCGGAAGAGAAGGCCCTCGCGGACGCCGCCCTGGCAGAAGTGAGCTTCTTTGATGCCGTACGGCACCGATTTGGCCAGCACATTGACCAGGAATGCGACCGAGGGGACCTGTTCACGACGGCGATCGGAGACGCGGAAGATGTCTCGGGCGGTCCGAGCGACCTTTTTGAGGACTTCGGTGTTTTCAAAGTCCTCCTTGGGAGCGGAGTAGCCGTTGATGATGGAGATGGGGTAATACTGTCCGCGCACTTGATGCAGGTAAAGCAAGAGGTATCCCAACCACGAAATCCTCCCCGGACAGATAGAGAGGGAAGCCCCCCTCGGTCCGAGCTTTTTCCACCAGCCTATGAGGAATCTCCAGCTGCTCAAAGGCCCTGCGGAAATTGCTCTCCATCTCCCGGCGGAATGCCTCCTCCGCCCGATGCGCCTCGTCCGGGCTCTTCCCCTTCCGCAGTTGATTGAGTTTGTGTGTCAAGGCGGCTGCTCCGTAGGGAAAACTGAACGACCCCTTGGGGCTGATGCGAACACTGCCTGCATGCGAGATGATCCAGGTCATCTGCATGCTCCCTCCCCCCAAATCCATGGCCAGTCCTTCGATGTCGGAAAAGCTGCTGGCAATCCCCCATGCTCCAATTGTTCCTTCCAATTCTTTGGGCAGAGTCTCAACCGAGACGTTGGTGGCGCGTCGGATGGCATCGACAAACTCGTCTGCATTGAGTGCGGTGCGCGTGGCTTCGGTCGCGATGATGCGGATGTTCTCCGGGGGACACCGATTTGCGCACACGTAATCTGGAAGCGAACGATCGCCCCGACTACCGATTTGATAACATGCTTGGGGATGGGGATTTGACAGCCGGTCTCGTCGTCAAACTGGGCGTCGTAGACGGAAATGTCGACCCGTCGCAGGTACACGGTCGGCAGGATACGCGCGGTCGGAGACGAGAGGTCGGAGACGGAGCATCGTATTCCGTTGCTGGACAAGAATATCAGGTTGGCATGTTGGTTCAGACATAAATGGGGATGACATTGATGCTCACCTTCCCAGATCAACTACGGCTTGAAGATGTCGTCGCTTCGCAGAAGGTTGAATGAGAGAGTTGGAAAGGAGGGGCTGGGAGACTGAGGGCCGGCCGGGAAATCGATCACCACCTCCCATAATAATGGTAATATGGCCCCCTAGAGATCAGGTAGCTTCACCAACTGACCACAGCCACGGTGCTATGGACAAATAGAGGGGCAAGAGTCTCAAGAGGTCTCAACACGGAGGACTCTTTTCATCTTCTTGTGGTTGCTGATATTGCCCTGCAACGTGTCCTGACGTCAGCCATCTTGGGAGTGTCACGTTTGAGCTGCAGTAGTTGGAGTTGCTGGAATTGCTTTTTTTTGTTGTTGCTACTCCTATTCCGTAAGACCAATAGATGACAAGCAATGCTCAGCGCTTCTAACAAGGTCCTCGGATGATGGCCATTATCAGTGTGATTGGGTATGGTTATTGATAAGCGACCCCATTTTGTTGGAGAGATATATATCGCGGGAGGATGCCGTAGAGGCATGGCATGTCGAAGTACCTCTCTACATCCGAGAGATGGTTGGGACTAGTCAAGACAGTTGATTCCATTCTATACTAGTAGTATTATTCATAGGTAGGGCGCATATAATATAAAGCATATCTAGAAGTTCTCTACGGAGTTACATGCGAAAGACACCTATTCTAGTCTATTGTGGTAACCAGGCAAAGCGTTACGTAAGAAGGGGAACATTCCTAGGTAGACTTGGCCAATGACTTGATGAAAATGAAGGAGAGAATCGTGTGTATTGACTAATGAGAACCATAAGGCCAAGGAATGAATGCATCACGATTCCACCTATGAATCCCTGGGATGAGACAGATCTTACCAAGTGCTCTCCTCCTCCTCTGCTCTGCTGTATAACAACAGCACACCGGTGGAGCACGTGATGAGGCAGAATCCCAACCCACGCCACAGACGGCATCCCTCGCCTTGGCTCTCTCTGCGTTTGAGCCTAAATAATGATCTTCAAGGATTAATAAGTAGGGCACTGGTCCCGGTCTCTCAGCTTTCACCGACCGGACCCGGCCCGGGAGACAGCCGGCCAAGTGGAGCCGTAGGCCGCAGCCTCTCCTTCAGCCTACATACGGTATCTCGGAATATGACTATCTACGAGAATCTACGGAGTACTCGGATCACAGGCAGAAGGCGATATCAGGACACGTACTGCAGACTCCTCGGTAGGGTGTTACACTGGCCGATGATAAGACGCCGGATGGTTTCGGTCGGCAGCTTCGAACACCCGTCTGTGATATACATGTAGTTCTTGCGATAGTCAACTCTACGCCGGTGATAAAGATACTGAGATATGTGTTGGATCATCGTCAAATATGCCATTCAGTGTTCCCCGTGGATATCCCCGTAGATCTTTCTTTTCTATGCGGGGTTTTCATGACTCCATGGAGTACTCCAGATATCATGCCAGGTTTCACTCCTTGTACAACGTCTAAGCGGTTCATGATGTCTTGCCCCAGGAATCTGGAGTAGTACCTGTTACGCGATCAAAATCCCTCAATGGTCTTCGTGGATGCGGTGGCCCTGAGGACATGTTCCAGAAATACCAGATCGTCAGATGGCCAGAGGCAAATATGATGTCGAAATGCCCGTTGCTGGCCAATCCGCGGCGGGAATATCATCCATGGACGGTGATAAAGCTCCACAGCGCGGTGGAGAACAGGGAGGATCTGCTCGACAATTTCACTCGCACACGAAAATTTCAGAGAGTGTGTGTGGAATCGTGCAGATGGCTAGCATCGGACTCTAATACGTAATGTCCATGACTGACAGGTATCAACCTCAACCAGAGATAACTTCTCCGTCGACGCATGGAGTAGACCCGAGACCCATCAACCCTACCGAACATTGCCAAGCCCCAAAAAAAGGGCCGTAAAAAAGAGGAACACTCGGTTAGCCTGGGTTTCTTCTAGAAGATCTGGCTCATCCCCGTTTTATCTTCTCCAGGTTCTCCCTCTTCTGGACTTTCGTTTCCCTTGAATTTCTCGTTGTCGTTCTACAGAGTATCGCCATGGCCGTCTCAAGGGATCTCGAGGCTCCCGCCGTCCTCAACGACCCAACCGCTGATGATGCCACGATCGAAAAGAAGGAATATGCTGATGGCACGCCGGCAAATGATCCGTTTGGAAATGAAGAATGCGGAGAGGTCAAATATCGTGTCATGTCGTGGTGGTAAGCTTCGTTCCCTCCTTGTCCATTCCCTCAGCTGACCTGGTGCAGGCAATGTGGAACATGTAAGGCTTCTACTACCGTATATTCCGTCTACCATGATCCTCTAACAAGAGATAGTGATGGTTGCTGAGAATATTTCCCTGGGGATTCTGTCTCTGCCATCAGCCGTGGCCACCTTGGGAATCGTCCCGTAAGTGTACCGAGAGACCACCTTCAGCATCTATGTTCCTAACCACGGCGACACAGAGCGGTAATTCTGCTTCTTGGATTGTCCGCAATCTCATGGTATACCGGCTACATTATGGGACAGTTTAAGCTCCGTTTCCCCCAGATCCATAGCATGGGGGATGCCGGCGAGCTGCTGTTGGGCCGCTTCGGACGCGAGTTATTCGGCATCGGTCAGCTCCTGTTCTTGATCTTCCTGATGGCCAGTCACATCCTCACCTTCACCGTGGTCTTCAACACCATTACCAACCACGGGACCTGTACCATTGTCTTTGGGGTGGTTGGATTGGTGGTCAGTTTCATCGGAGCCTTGCCGCGCACGATGGGTAAAGTCTATTGGATGTCTATGGCGTGTATGCATTCCTCCTCGTCTATCGATTGTAGACCCGACTGACAATGTGCCAGCCTGCATCAGTATTGTGACGGCTACCGTGGTGACCATGATCGCGATCGGAGTGCAAGCCCCAGATCACGTCCATGTGGATGCGACCACCGAGGTTTCTTTCCAGGATGCGTTCCTCGCCGTGACCAACATCATCTTTGCTTACAGTATGCCTATAACTGTTTCCTTATTGCTCTCCAGTAGCTAATTCCGCTAGTTGCTCACGTCGCTTTCTTTGGATTCATTTCGGAAATGCATGACCCCGGGACTTCCCCAAGTCCCTGACTATGCTGCAGGTCGTGGACACCAGCTTGTACATCGTGACTGCGATGGTCATCTACCGCTATGCCGGCCCGACGTAGCGTCGCCCGCTCTGTCATCCGCTGGACCTCTGATGAAAAAGGTGGCCTACGGTCTGGCCATCCCCACCGTGGTGATCGCCGGTGTCGTGTTTGGCCATGTCGCCTGCAAGTATATCTACGTGCGCATCTTCCGAGGCTCCGCCCATATGCACCAGAACAGCTTCCTGGCTATCGGGTCATGGGTGGCCATCGCGTTGAGCGTCTGGGTGGTGGCCTGGGTGATTGCAGAGTCCATTCCGGTATTCAACGAGCTGCTGAGTTTGATTGTATGTCTCCATTCACCTTTAACTTTAGCTATTGCTAATGACTCTACAGAGCTCCTTGTTTGGAAGTTGGTTCAGCTGTAAGTTACCTGCCGACATTCTGCTGGGTTTGAGGAATACTAACTTGAATAGACGGGTTGCCCGCCATCTTTTGGCTCGTGATGAACAAGGGCCGCTGGTTCTCAACTCGCTCCAAGATCTGTTTGACTATCGTCAACTTCCTCATCCTGGCGTTCGCCTGTGCTCTGGTATGTTCACTTATTCTTGTCTTTCCAAGAAGTAGCTAACAAAGACTAGTGTGGCATGGGTCTCTACGTCTCGGGTAAATCGATTCACGACAGTTCATCCAAGGCAAGCTGGACTTGCAAGAACAACGCCACCTAGACGGTTGACTTGCGGATGAGATAGATGGTGCATGGATATGATTAGAACTTGAATTAGACACTGCAGGCCATGAAGAATCTGTATATAGATTGTCCTAGGATTTGAGCATCTAGATGAAACATGTATACTTCAACTGTCCTGCCTAGCTCAGCCCATCGTATATCTTTGATAAATGTTCATACCCGACACATACATTCAGACGCAAATCTCATGACCATGTACAGCAACAGAAGGGTTTTCAGCAAGTCCCCCCATGAATCCTCACCGAACGAAAGGATTCCCAACCAACAGGGAGCTTAACGCAATCCTGGTCTGAGTCCTTGGAAATGCGAACACCTTCACAATCTCTGCCCTTGTAGAAGCTGGCCGTGGCCTTTTGGAAGTTGAGTTTAGCCCCTTTGATCTTGTAGTTGCGGCTCATATTGGTACAGCCGCAGGAGGTGATCTTGCCGACGGTTTCGCCACCGCAGGAGGCGCTGGTGTAGGGATAGACGATGGTAGCGCTGGCTGAGGCCAGGAGAGTGGTAATTGCAAGGAACTTCATTGTGACAGTAGTTTGTGGATAGGAGTCGTTGTTTTAGATCTTGAGGATGGAGTGTGTTGTTGAATGGATATCCCTGAGCGGATGTGCTCCCTTTATATATCTTCATCTTGGACGAGATATTAGACCACTGCGTGTTCAAACAGGAAGGATGTCACCCGCGCATTTGAGACATCTCAAGGAAGGTATATTGTATCGTTCGTATTTATGCATGCCAAGTGAAGCGATATGCTGAACACGAAAGCCCATGCAGAGATGTGTCAACAATCACCACTGCGATGTAACACTGTCAGCATGAACGAGGCACTGTTGTCCAGTATTCCATACTCATTGGTGATGTCTGGATTGAACCATGCTCGCCAACCTACATCATGCGCAGGTGGAAGATCGTATTCGGAGTATTGCCCTTGTTGGGAAGACTCAATGCAAGGAGGTCGTTTCTTGAGATAATCGGTGTTATTCCTCCCCTTCGGTTCATCGGAAGGCAGTACTCTGTAGTGCTACGTGAATGCGTCAGATTTATGCTCGTCGCGGAATGAACACAGGATTCATCACGGTAGTCGGTCCGAAGATGAGAGTCCCTGGCGGTGTGCCTTCTGTGTCCTCGGGATGGGCGTCCTCTTGGATCTGGTCGATATGGGTAATGGAAAGATCGACAAAAGCGTCATTGCGACGGCCAAGGTAGTCGTTTGTATCGGCGGAGAATCCACCCACATCTGCCCAAGTTGAGCGGCCAACATTTTCCCACCGGATGAAGAAGGAGTGTCTACGAGTCAGTTATCATAAGGATGCAGAAAATCTTCAAATATTCAAGGTATGCGATCAATATTTTACACAGCCACGGCATGTACACCTGCTGGTGAGGTCCAGCCAGCTAACAGACACACAGGATAACGAAGGACAGGTGAAGTAACGACAGAAGAGGTAAAGAATGTCCACAATGCTGACAATTCAGCTGATATTATTAACAAGGAGACCCGGTAGTCAGGATGCGCTTCGCCTCCTGGGCATAAGTGCATCCGTTGTTGACGTTGGCGTCCGAAAAGCCGGCGGACCACATCATGACACCTCCGAAAGCCGGGTTGTTCTTGTACTCGGCCACGAGGGAAGCCAGAGCGCTGGGCTGGAGATAGTACTGTGCGCCGCTGGACGTTCCTGTCGCACCCAGCGGCGAAGCAGGGACACCGATGAAGATCTTCGCGTTGGCCGAGGGGGTGTTGGCCAGGTTGGAGACCCATTGGTCGTAGTTGATGGGGCCGTTGACGGAGCAGCCGGGGTTGTTGTAGAACTGCACCCAGAGATAGTCGAACTGCGCCTTGGTGACAATGACCTGCATGTTGGGCTCGGGGATGGGGCACTGCGGCGCACCGGTGATGTAGTACTGGTTGGAAGGATCCGAAGCAAAGTTGGAGCGCAGCTTGTTGATCAGGTACTGGTAGTAGTTGTTTCCGGCGTAGCTCTCAATGTCAAAGTCCCAGCCGTTGACAAAGGTGCTTCCAAAGGGTCGGGGCACATTTCCATTGCCCTGGGTATTGCCGTAGGCCTCCCAAAGGTTTTGACCGATGGTCTCGGCCTCAGCCTGAGAGGACAGAGAATACGCACCGACGGCACCGCCGAGGGACAAAATGACCTTGACGCCCCTGGATTGGCAGGTCTTGATGGCAGAGGCCAAAGCGTCACAGTTCTGCGGCTGCCCAGAGGGAGAAATGTAGCAGGACTGGCCGATGGTACCGGAGGCGATGGTGTTGCCATTTCCGTACTGATACAGGAAGGAGAGGACAATGATATCGATGCCAGAGGTCGACGTGCAGTAGGAGGCCAGATCGTTGTTCTCGACGGTGCCGCCGCCGTTCTGGCCCCAGTACACGACGTTCTGGGCACCGGACGCGCGCGAGGACAGCTGATGGGGCATGGCAGATGCGGTCGCAGCCATCAGGCTGAGGGCACTGAGCACTTTGGCAAAATACATTTTGACGAAATGGATGGGGTGAGAACCTGGATACAAGGAGTGACAGAAAGCGAACAAATTTCAAAGAATGACAAGAAGAGAAAGGACAGATTCGTCAAGAATCTTGAGGGCGAAAGGACTCTGTGTGTTGGAATGATCATGAGCAACAGCTGCGAAGGAGGCTTGTTTTATATCCCATTTCCAACCATGCCTTCTCTTGTGACTGTCCAACAGCATTTTCATGGGGACATACATCCAAGCAACATCCTCGATGCGCCGTCTTGTCGTCTGCATGCGATGGTAACTTCATGAAGTAGGATAATGTCCGTACAGCGTTGCAACTGGCGTTGAAACTGCTAGAGGGAGGCATGGCTGAAACGCTCTAAACACGCACAAGTCCCCGTGGAAGAACCATTGAAGTGGAATTCCATAGGAATGCCATAGAAAGGGCCGAGCCTGAGTCGACAGAGAGGGCGATCGGCGAAGACGATGTAACTGTGATGGCTGTTGATTGATTAAGCTCATGCAACGTGCATTGGGCGTGACTTGGCCTAACGGCTTTGACTAGTATACCAAACAATATATACCGATCTAGATCGTGCCCCGACTGGCTCGGAGACGGGGCTGTATGTGTTAAGGTTCGTCTATTGCGACGCTGTAATCTCCGCGCTGACAAGCCCGTCCGCAATGGAAGACTCTGATACGCCCGTTGTCGCTGCAGATAATATCAGGCTTGACACTAAGAAAGCGACGACACATAAAAGCCGACTAGCAAGTACCGGTGCTTCAGAATCAGCCAGGATACTGGCCTACAATAAGTAAAAGCCGGGGAGAGTTACATTGGTGTTGAGGCTTGATACAAAGGCTGAAGTTTAACCAGTGCATGCTCCTGAGCCATGTACAATCTCGTTCTGCTTCAAACTGCCACATGCAAGGTCTGGATGACCTGTGCCTGACTATAATATAGATTGTTATTCCTAATCCTTGCATTCAGTAACCACTAGGACAAGTCAAGAACATGGTATACCTAGTAAAAGGGGCTTCCGCAGTGTCACCAGTGGGGCATATATGCAATATGCTGGCGACTTATGTGCTTGCGACTGGCGAACCATGTGTCTTGCAATTCCAACATTTGGGGCAGTTCTTGTATATAAGCCAGAGACCACTCCGAATCGATTCCTGAGAATAGTCCCATCCATGAATAATCCTGACCGAGATTGGCCGCCAAATGACCGTGCTACTGCCGGAACACGGAGGATCCGGCAACTTCCGAACTCCGGCTGTCATTTCTGTCGTTCTGTCAGTTGTGTCCAATTTGGAGACGCATATTGATCTGAGATGGGACTATCTAGACCGTAACAGGAACGAATGTCTTGCCAACATATTGCAAACCGACAGAAGAAGGGAAGGCGTCTCTTGGCTGGGCTCTTCTTCTTCATTCTTCGTCGACTGTCGGCGCATCTCGTAGAACCTCAAATACCCCGATTGGGCAATTAGTGGACCGAGACTACCCGCGGCCAGCCAATGGACCGCCGCGATGGCATCTAGACAAAAGCCACACCCTCACCGACTCGTGCCTTCAGGGGGACACGGCCAAAGACGATGTCTACCGAGAAGATAAATAATTGAGCTTCAGGCTGTTGTGAAGCTCATCTATTCACCCGAACATTCCGATTTCGAGCATCATGAGGGAGCTTTAGAGTGCAGGATCGGTTCCATTTTCGGAACAACCACAACAGAGCTAGTTGGAAGTACCCCTGATCCGCGACAATAACCCAGTCAATTACTGCAATGCTGTCAAAATACGAATATGACATCCGGGAGCTTCCACCAGATGATCGCATTCGGTTCAGTGTGAAGTACAGGAACGCTCTCTATCTCATAAGCAAGGCGGCCATCTGGGCCTTTCACCTCTACTTTTTCGTGCGCTTGCTCCTGGTCATCACAGCTCCGCAGCAGACCTGGCAGATATGGCTGATGCTTCTTGTCGAGTATATCTTCGCCCGTAAGTCATCGACGAATCAGACGCCGCGTGTGATATCCGGATTGCAAACTGACTTCAGGCCAGGTACGCCTTGGGATGATCAGCGCCTCACGGTAGCAGCAGGCAGGTCATTGCAAAGCCGTCCCCGGGACCGACTGCGACTCCATGGCAGCGACCATCTGCCTCGAGTCGACGTCCTGGTTCCCTGCTGTGGAGAGCCGACGGACGTGGTTTTGGACACGGTCCGCGCGGCCTGCACCATGGACTATCCCGTCACTCATTTCCGAGTGCTTCTGCTGGACGATGGGGCGTCCCCTGCGCTGTGTGATGCCGTCGCACAACTACGCTCCCAATGGCCGCACCTGTCGTACCACACGCGCGGACAGCACTCGGGCCGCGTGTTTGCCAAAGCCGGAAACCTCAACTATGCTCTTTTTTCGTTGCAGAACGAGGACCAGCCCGAGTTTGTTGCGGTTCTGGATGCCGACTGCATGCCCACATCCGATTTTCTGCGAGCCACGCTGCCTCATTTGCTGAAAGATCCACAGGCTGCTTTGCTCACGACCAGGCAGTACTACTATAATCTGCCCGACGGTGACCCGCTGCAACAATCGCGGGTGCACTTCTACACCTGCCACAATTCCGAGCTCGACCGGATGGGATCGGCCATCGATGCCGGATCGGGGGCCGTCTTTCGGCGGAAGGCGATCGTGGATGTGGGCGGCTATCCCACCTTTTCCTTTTCGGAAGATTGGCAGCTCTCGCTGATGTTGCAGGGCCTGGGGTATCGCACAATGCAGGTACTGGAACCATTGCAGTTGGGATTGGTGCCGTCGTCGCTGGATGGGCATATTGCCCAGAGGAACCGATGGCAGATTGGTCACTCCCAACAGCCGTCTGTGTTGTTCTCCTCGAACCAAAGCATTCCCCGGCCCCTGCAATGGAGCATTGCTTTCAATGGAGTGTCCATCGTCTTGGGACTGGTTGGGTACATGGTAGGATTCGCGGCAGTTCCCGTCCTCTGCGCTTCGGGGCGTCTAATCCCTGCGGCATCGCCCTTGCTGGTACGGATTCAAGTCTTTCTGGCGGTTTTGCACGTCGCCTTGACGTGGCTACATGGGTTGATTCAATCCGCCCACACGGGCTTTCGCATCGGCCCATTCGCCCACCTGGAGAACAGCTGGCTTGCAAGTAGTAAGTCATATCTGACAGCCTCTCGCCT